GCTTAGTGCATTGCCACTCTGTGCGAGACATCGCCCCATGCTGTGGGGAAATAGGTGGGGCGGCCCACCCTTGCACGAAACGAGGGGGCTTGCCACGCCCTCTCGTTCCCTTCTTGACATGAGTATCACACCATATCTCCAAGAAATCCTCCGCCATCTGGTTGGCAAGAGCGAGCGTATCCTCTGCGTTGCCTTGCGCCAGTGCAAATTGCCTGGCATGTTGGTCGACCAAGTAGGCACCGAGAGCTTCGCGTTCGTCATGAGCCATGCTGATGTGGTGGACGTCGTAGAGCTTCGGACGTTCCCACCGTCGAACCCGCGCCGCAAATGCGTCCACGGTGAGGGTGACTTCAAGGCCAAGGTGTCCAGGGCACTTGAATTCACGAACGATGTGAAAGTCGATGGCCATAGCATTGGCGCCATCATTCGCGAAGATATAGTCGATCCTAGAAGTGTGCTCGATGGGGTCGTGGCGATTCCCGTTGGGATCGCGGCCCTAGGTCGCGGCATCCTGATCGGGGTAGCCATTCGAGACATTGTTCCAGCCGCCTTCCTGTAGTACCCAACTGAGAAAAGCGGACTCGGTGGCGTCACACTGGGCATCCATGGTGATGAAGTAGGGGGCGGCAGTACCTCGTAACGCAGCTGCTTGCCAAGCGTCCGCGAACAGGTCCTCGTTTGATTCAGTAGCGACTCCGTAGACGGTGGCGAGATAATACCCAGTGGTCAACTTCCCTTTCCGATTGGGCATGGGAACAAAGACCTCCTTCCAGCGCTTGGTTCCCAAGAGACGTTCTTGGGCAGGATGTAGGCAAACCGTAGGAACCATGGGTTCAGAAGTCGGGGCAACGATGGCAACGCCCCCACGCTCTGTGTTAACTCCTTTGGTCACATACTGATGCTTGCCATTCTGCGCTGGAACCACGCGCGTGCCAGGGGATAGAGGTGGGCCCCAGTGTGCGTTCCAACCGTGCCGATGGAGATGCTTACCAAGGTCCGAAAGTTGATGAGGTGTATGGCGCACCTCTTGAAGAGCTGCAACGGCGACGCCTCGATCGCGAAGAGCTGTGAGCAATTCCCAATGTGCTTGCAGCGAGGTCACATTGAGTGAGACGAACTTGTGGTAGCCAGGCCCGTCACCCAAGGTTGAATCCTAGTATGTTCGCGTGCGATGACTGTGGCAGTGGTGCTGGGCCAGAGACGCCATCGCCCACATAACGAGAAACCCAAAATGTCGTTTGCGACGTTGTGTTCGTATGGGGAGGTGAAGTCTGGGCGGGCCCTCCCGCGTATTGGTCCCGGCTGTGTCGGCACTGTGGCAGTCCCCCAGACTAGCCGTATACATGGTCGAGGGTGTGGTACGTCGCTCATTTCTGCAACCATCCCCTTCGCTGCAGTACCCCAGAATTTGAGCATGGAGGTCACTATCAAGTGAATGTAGTTGGCGTCCCCGTTCACGAACTTCCCAACAAAAGCCTTGAGTACAGGGATCTGGATCTTCGAGTGGGCCCAGTTTGCGTCGCCCGTGCCGAAAGCCAGGATAGCGAGCGGCACCTTCTGGCGCCGTAGCGCCGTGCACCACTTCTCCGCATCCTCCGTGCTGTGGAGGGAGATGGAGGACTCATGGGTGCCGTCGGGCAGCTTCTTGGGGGCCTGCACGATGGTGGCGGACCAGTCTTGCTCGTCCAGGGCGATGGGCTGCGGCTCCACGGCCGCGTTATCTACGCCCTTGCCCTGCGTGGTGTTCGTGGCTCCATCGGTCGCAGCAGCATCTGCCGAGGTGTGCCGCTGGTGCTCGTCGGTCCTCATATTCTCGTCCTTTGTCGAGAGCTTCTGGATGTCTCCCGCCCGCTTGTCCTCTGAGGTCTGGTCCAGCACCTGGTCCAGTCCCGTCTGGTCCTTATGGATCAGCTCGTGGTAGGCCGCGGCAGCTCGAACGCCACCTCCCTGTTGTGTGATTCCGTCAATCTTCGTCTTGTGAGCAGGGGGCCCGCTGATCTTCGTTGCCTTCTTCGCCATCTCAATACACTGGATGGTCGCAAGCGGAGCCAGAAGCAAGCGAAACAACCGATCCTCTGCAGTGAAGCTCACTGTCGGTGCCGCCAGGAGTACGATATTCGGACTCGGAGGGCAGATCGGAAGGGCTGCGCGCACTCGCTCCCCAGCGAGTTCGAGCCCGAGTGGCACTGATGGTGATGGTGATACTGATGGTGATGGTGATGGTGATGATGGTGATGGTGATGGTGATGGTGGTGGTGATGGCGATGGTGGTGGCGATGATGATGATTATGATGATGATAGTGTCCTGGTGATGATGATAATGATGATGATGATGTTGATGATGATGATGCCGATGATGGTTATGTTGACGATGTTGCTGTTGATGATGATGGTGATGGTGATGGTGGTGATGATGATGGTGTCCCGATGATGATGATGATGCTGTTGATGATGATGATGTTGCTGATGGTGGTGGTGATGATGATGGTGTCCCGATGGTGATGATGATTGTGATGATGATGATGATGATGATCCTGATGATGGTGATGATGAGAAGATGCTGATGAGATGATGGTGATGGAGATGATGATGGTGTCCCGAACATAATGAGAAGGGTGATGATGATGCTGTTGATGATGATGGTGATTATGATGGTGTCCCGATGATGATGATGTTGATGATGATGAGGATGATGACGATGATGGTGTTCCGATGATGCTGTTGATGGTGGGGATGCTGATGAGGTGATGATGATGATTTTGATGATGGTGGCCCGATGATGGCGATGATGGTGCTGATGTTGATGATGGTGTCCCCATGATGATGATGGTGGTGATGATGATGGTGACGATGATGATGGTGTCCTGGTGATGATGATGTTGATGATGCTGATGATGTTGCTGAGTTGATGTTGATGATGGTGTCCCGATGATGGGATCGATGCTGATGTTGTTTATGATGGTGAGTAGGAGATGATCATGATGATGGTGGCGTTCCGATGATGATGATGATGATGATGGTGTGCCGATGATGGTGCTGTTGATGATGATCCAGCTGATGATGATGGTGCCCCGATGATGATGAAGATGGTGATGATGGTGATGCTGATGATGATGATGATGATGATGTTGATGATGCTGGTGTCCCGATGATGATGATGATGATGATGATGATGATGATGATGATGATGATGTTGATGCTGATGCTGATGCTGATGATTATGTTGTTGATGACGTTGATGACGATGATGTTGACGATGAATGATGATGACGTCGATTGTGAGATCGATTGTGACATCGAGAGTGAGATCGATAGTGAGACCGAATGTGATATCGATTGTGAGATCGATAATGATATCGATTGTGATATCGATTGTGAGATCGATTGTTAGATCGATCGAACGAAGTAGATCGAGTGAAATCGATGGTGAGATCGATCGAGTGAGATTGATCGAGCGAGACTGATAGTGAGATCGATCGTGAGACCGATAGTGAGACCGATCGAGTGAGACGTTGGCTCCTCCCCCCCCGAACCTCCTTATCACCCGAAGGGTGGTCGTATAGGTATGGGAAAATATGGGGGATCCTTTTATTTGTGTGTATTTATTTGTGTGTCCCAGGGCCCCTTCACAATAGCCCCCGAGATGTCGCCAGCCTATGCGCGCATTTCTCGTGCGGGGATGCGCAGGACCGCCAGCATTGCCGCCGGGCTGTGTGCTGGAGGTCAGACCCTCCGACGCGTCAGGATGCGAATGGCGCAGGCACTGCCAGCATTTTCGTCGGGCCGTGCCCTGGAGGCACATGAGACGTGAGGAAGGGCAAACGTGCAGGACCGCTGGCATTGCCGCCAGGCTGTGTCCTGGAAGTCAGTCGATTGAATATGTCCTCGGATTTGATCGTGGAGGTTTGTTTCCTGTTTTTGAAGGCCTCAGGGTCGAGGTAGACGAGAGTCCTTAGCGTGAGGTTACACAGGACCACCGACCTTGCCGTTGGGTTGTGTCCGTGAAGCACCAGCCTCGCGACGGGGGTGGGCGTGCTTATTCAGTGTATGCACGAAATCTGGCCCTGCCGCCAGCCTGCGTCCAAACAGGGACGAACATTGGCAGTGTCTCGACATCAGAAGGAGGAGGAGGACGAGGAGCAGGAGGAGGAGGAGGAGGAAGCGGAGGAGGAGGAGGAGGAGGAGGAAGAGGAGGATGAGGAGGATAACAAGGAGAAGGAGGAGGAGGAGGAGGAGGAGGAGGAGAAGGAGGAGAAGGGGAGGAGGAGGAGGAGGAGGAGGAGCAGGAGGAGAGGAGGAGGAGGAGAGGAGGGAGGAGGATGAAGGGGAGGAAGAGGAGGAGGAAGAGGATGAGGATGAGGAGGAGGAGGAGAGGAAGAGGAGAGGAGGAGGAGGAGAGGAGGAGGAATGTGATGCTGAGGAGGAGGATAAGGAGGAGGAGGAGGGACGAGGAACAGGAGGAGGGAGGAGGGAGGAGGAGGAGCAGGAGGAGGAGGAGGGGAGGGAGCGGGAGAGGGAGGAGGAGGAGGAGGAGGAATAGGAAGAGGAAGAGGAAGATATCATTAGTACGAGTAATACGAATGATAAGAACGGGATAATACGAATAATACGAATACCGGCACTAATTATACCACGAATAAGGCTACTAATACTCAGAATAATATGGAGGAGGAGGAGGAGAAGGAGGAAGAGGAAGAGGACGGGGGAGGAGGAGGAGGGAGGAGGAGGAGAGGAGAGGAGGAGGAGGAGGAGGAGGAGAGGAGGAGGAACAGGCGGAGGAGGAGGAGGAGAGTAGGGAGGAGGAGGGAGGAGGAGGAGAGAGGAGGGAGGAGAAGGAGTGAGGAGGGTGAGGAGGAGGAGGGGGAGGAGGAGGAGGAGGAGGAGGAGGAGGAGGAGGAGGAGGAGGAGGAGGAGGAGGAGGAGTTGGAGGAGGAGGCGTTGGAGGAGGAGGAGGATGAGGAGGAGGAGGCACCTCCCCTCCCCCGCGGCACCCCCGCCAGGTTCCGACGGCCCGCTGCTGCCCCGTCGCGGCGCCGCCGAGCCAGACCCTGGGGCCTTACCAGGGGGGGGGGAGGTGGGCCTCCCGTCCTCTCCCCGCCGCCGTCGGCCCGCAGGGCCTGGAGGTCAGACGCTGGAGAGCTTCGGTGGTGCAGCTAGTTCTTCCTCTGTCCATGCCTTTCACCCCAGCATCTGTCCTCCAAGCCCTCCACCTGCCTTTCCTCCTCCTCCTCCTCCTCCTCCTCCATCTCCTCCCTCCTCTTCCTTCTTCTCAACCTCCTCCTTCTCCTCAACCTCCTCCTCGCCCCTCACCTCCTCTTCCTCCTCCTCTCCCGTCCTGTTCCTCGTCCTCCTCCTCCTCCTCCTTCTCCCCCTCCGCCTTGTCCCCCTCCTCCTCGTCCTCCTCCTCCTCCCTTTCCGCCTGCCTACACCGCCTGGCCTTTCTCCTCACCCCCCCTAGTCCTCCCCGTGAGAGGGAAGGTATGGACCAGCATCGGGCCTCCATAGGCCCATGTAGGGCCAGACCTTGGGGGCGCATGCTGGTGCACACTTTCCCTTCCTCTACTGTTACAGTGTCCTCCCGCGCCCACCCCTCGTCCAAGTAGGGAAAACAAAAGCACAGACACAAACAATCGAGTACTTGGAACATATCGGAAGTGGAGGGGAAGACGAACACGCAGGGAATACAGAAAGTACGGGGGCTCCTGGGATTTGTGTCTGTTTATTTGTGTGTCCTGGGCCCCTTCATCCTCCTTCTTTCAGGGTCTGGCGCGTGCCCTATCCCCTGATGGGTTGCCCACGATCGTCTCCAGAGCTCTTTTTCCGCCGCTGCCGCAAACGTCCCGGCAGGCGCCAGGGAAGCCTGTCTTCTCCGGCCCCAGTCGCCATGGGGGAAGCGGGTCCTGGGGGAAAGGGGTTCTGAGGTTTTTGGCCGTGTTCGGGCTCTCGGGGCCCTCCACGGGCCCCAGGACTGAGAAAGCGACTCGGGATGAGGAGTTGGTCTTGGGGGAAGGCCTCGGTTTCCAGCACCCGTTTCCCTCAGAACTTGTCTCCCCCATGTCACTTTCTCCTGCCCCAGGAGTGAGCACTTGCGTGGATCCGAGTCGGCATGCCGTTTCAGGGTCTACGCCGAGGGAGACCGTGTTGCAATCGTTTGTTGGTTTGTTCGAGACCGCGTGTGCAAAGTCTTGGAGGAAAAGAAGAGAGCGAGAGAGAGAGAGGGGGAGACAGAGGGATAATGAGAGAAAGGCCGTCGAGCCGGGTCGGCAGAGGATTCCGACCCTGAGTGCGACGGAGGCGATCTTTTATGATTGGCACGTTCTCCGTAGCAACAGCACTTATACACTCACAACAGCAGCAGCAACAGCAGCAACAACAACAATCATGGTAAGTCTTTTCGCTCTTATCTGCTCGAGTGTCAGTCAGTGTGTATTTCCCAAACCCTCGATACCAGCCCTCTTCGTCTTCGATCGTACCCCCTTTGAGGGGCATATCTTTCTTCTCTGCAAGCCGGGCCCCGTCCAGCGGCGGGGCGGCCGCGGAACGTCGGCCTGGCCAGCGGCAGCGCTGATTGGCCGCAGCCCGACCCCAAGAGGGACGGACAGGGGACCGACCGTGACGACAACGACGACTACGACAACGACGACGACGACGAACGAAAGCGACAGCGGGGCCACGAAGGGCAGCGATGGGCCACGAAGGGCAGCAAAGGGGCCACGCAGGGCGACAGCGGGACCACGAAGGGCATGCGCATGAGGCCACGAAAGGCGCGAACGAGCGGGGGCCACGAAGGGCAGATAATGCGGGGCCAGAGGGCTCCGACGGGGCCGCTGAGGTAGCAAGGGGGCCGCGGAGGGCAGCGAGGGGCCACATGGGGCGACGGCGGGGCCACGAAGGGCACGCATATGTGGCCACGACGAGCGCGAACGAGCGGGGGCCACGAGGGGTATGCATATACTGGGCCGCAAAAGGCAAGGACGGGGCCACTGAGGGCAGCGAGGGGGCCGCGAAGGGCAGCGTGGGGGCCGCGAAGGGCGACGGCGGGCCACGAAGCGCATGCATCTGGGGCTACGGCGGGCGCGATCGAGCGGGGGCCACGAAGGGCATGCATATATGGCACCACGAAGGGCAGCGATGAGAAACCACGAAGGGCAGCAACGGGGCCACTGAAGGCAGCGAGGGGGCAACGAAGGGCTGCAACGGGGCCACGAAGGGCAGCGATGGGGGCCACGAAGGGCTGCAACGGGGCCACGGAGGTCAGCGAGGGGGCCACGAAGGGCTGCAACGGGGCCACGACAGGCAACGAGGGGGCCACGACGGGCTGCAACGTGGCCAGGAAGGGCAGCGGGTGGGCACGAAGGGTTGCAATGTGGCCACGAAGGGCCGCGAGGCGGCCACGAAGGGCTGCACTGGTGCTCCGAAGGGCAGCACGGGGGCCACAAATGGCCGCAACGTGGCCACGAAGGGCAAATATATCCCGATTCTTAAGTAAGCCGCTCGGGAGTCCCAAGCGTGGGCACGACTCTTGCGTGACGGGAGCGCGGCGGTTGAAGAAATTGATTGGAGCACCAACGCAAGAGCGCGATTCTAGAGTAATTTGCAAACGAGTCTCCAACGAGAGCGCGACTCCAGAGCACCGAGGAACGATTCCTGAATACATTGTAGGGAAGTCCCAAGCGAGAGCGCGACTCCTGAGTAACATGGGGGGAAATCGAAGGCGGGAGCGGGAGTCCTGGCTAAGCCGTGGGGAAATCTCATGCGGGAGCCGTTGTTGTTGTTGTTGTTGTTGTTGTTGGTGGTGGTGGTGGTGGTGTTGTTGAACATTATTACTTCTAAAGAATAATTATTGTTGGGACCCCTGGTACACGACCCCCCTCCAAAACCTAGGCCGCAGCTACATTTTCATCATTTTTTCGCGAAAGCTTCAGAAAAGTGGATTAGTACCGGATCCGGTTGTTTTGTTCCCCCCCGTTTTCCCTTGCAAAAAACACTATAAAATGAAATTTCTTGTTCAAATGTAATCCAATTTCAAGAATCCCTTGCAAAAAATAAGCTAAAGTGGACATTCGCGCGTGCAAGACGAAATCCTTCCAAAACCTTAGGTTTCGGAGCGATTTCAACATAAAAACATCAAAAACCCAATGGTTTTTTAAATAAAAAATTGTCAAAATCTCATCCCGCGCGCTCTTGCGGATTCGTAGGAAAACCATCACTTTTTAAACAATTTTGTCAAACGGGCTTTTGCGAGCAACTTTTTCAAACTTCTGCGACAACGGTTGCGCACCTGCCAGGGCCATCATCCCTGTCAAATAATACCATGCGGGACACATTCGTTTTTTCTTCGCGCGCGCACGCCGAAATCTACAAAAACCATTGGGTTTTTAAGAATTTTACCACCGCGCATCATAAAATCACACGAATCGCACCGTAGGTCCTCGAAAAACAGCTGCACGACTTTTCAAAATTTCCACCCGCGCGCGCTGTCCGAATCCTCAAAAAACCAATGGTTTTCCAACATTTATGTTACATGAGCTCGCGCGAGCTACTTTCGCACGCTCTTGCAACGGGGTTCGCGCGCCTGCCAGGGGCCAGAATCCCTTGCGGTTGCGCCATAGGCTTAACAACTTCTGTGGGTTAACAAGGCTTAACAACTTCTGTGGGTGTACGAACGTAGGCTTAACAACTTCTGTGGGTGTGTACTCCACGCCAGTGTAGTAGCCACGGTCGTCCGCAGGCCACGAAGTGAAGTGTCCGAACGTCATAGGGCGGGAAGCTGGGTGTGGGTGGTGGCGAAGAGTCGTGTGGATATTTGGTAGAGCTTGCACTGCCCCCCCACAAAGTGGGGGTATTGGCTGGCGTCGCATGAAAACCCTGGCACTGGTGAGAACACTGAGCGTTCGGGTAAAGTGATTGTTGTTGTTGTTGTTGTTGTTGTTGTTGTTGTTGTTGTTGTTGTTGGTGTTGTTGTTGTTGTTGTTGTTGTTGTTGTTGTTGTTGTTGTTGTTGTTGCTGCTGCTGCTGCTGTTGTTGTTGTTGTTGTTGCTGCTGCTGTTGTTGTTGTTTGTTGTTCTTGTTGTTGTAACCTGGGGCCAACAGCACAGTTTGACCCCAGTGACGCTCCCTGATTTTTTATTTATTTAAGGGTGCGAAGTTCAGGGGAACATTTCATGGGAAAAACAAAAAATAGTCACCGGAGGGGGGATGAACAGTACTGATTCTGCAGTGGTGAGATTTCAACAGCAACGCCAACACCACCACCACGACCACCACCACAACCACCACAACCACCACCACCAGCACCACCACCACCACCACCAACAACAACAACCACTACCCCCATCTCATTCATCCCTTCCCTTCCTCCGCCCCACTGTTTTTTCTCCTCTCTTCTCCTCCCTTCTCCTGTCGTCTTTCTGCTCCGCAGTCGCGTGCGCAGCACCGCGGCAGGGACGACAAAATCTCCTGTCCTGCTTCGCCTCTCCCGCACCTGGCGAGCGGCGAAAGAGGAGAGAGCGAGAGTCGGAGGAGGTGGTGTCATGACCCGTGTGAGTGGGCACGAGATTTAGCATACCCCTAGGAGAAAGAAATAATGGCATAAACATAAAAACTCGGAGGTCCGCGCGGATTTCTCGGATCGAAGCTGGACCCCCTCCCCTGCGCGCGGAGCGCGCCAGGGGCGGCGCTGGAGGCGCCGCCAAGGAGGACCCAGTTTCGATCCGAGGAATCTGGGCGGACCTCCGAGCTTTTATGCCATTGCTCGTCCTCCTAACCTCTTCCGCTGCGGTAATCACTCTCTGTCAGATCGCGCCTTTCAATCGTCGGTCCCGAAACGGAATCGAAGCCGATGCCTGCCAGCATGCTCGCAGCAGTTGGTGTGCGTGCTGGGCCTGTGCTGTTTTGCGGTTCCGCCTGTGGGCTAGCGACTATATGGCAAGGGGGGAGCGACGACGTGTAGCTCTGCCTCCCAGGCACAAACCACGGGAAGTGCCGAAGTCAACGGTTCGCGCAGGAGGCTCGGTGGCACCCGGCCCCCCTGGGCTGCCCCCCGCTGGCCCCTGCCGCGGTGCCCCGCAGTGGCTCGGCTGCATCATCGTGTGCACCTCGCACACCACACCACGTCTTTTTCGCCTCTTTCCATCCCCAGTCTGCCCCTGCTTTTTTGTCTCGGCTCCATCGCGGCACTCCCGTTCGCCTTCTTGGCTCCTTTCTGGCGTGCGTCGTTCTTCCTGGCGCTTGCCATCCACCTGGAGAGGAACTGCGGAGGAGAGGAAGGAGAACGGTGAAGAGGGGTAGTGAGGAGGGGGGAAGACGACGACAGCGACGACAAACCGCAGAGGTATATGGAGACCTCCCGGGGTCATCTGGAGATTGCCGGATGTTCCCGGAGGCCGCCGCCGATCTTTCGATTGTCGGGCGGAGAGTGGTAGACATCGGGCATTCCATTTCTGGGTATCACCTTCGAGCCTCGACTCTATTACACTTCCGATCTTCGCTTGTCGATCTTCCTCTTGGCTTAGATATCGTGTCCCTTCTGGCTTATGGTGGGTGGGAGAGGCAGCTGCCGGCGGCCTCGCGTGCAGCGCTGCCGCCCCTGCAGGGTACACTGCCGGCTCCTCGTCAGCCTCTTCCTCCTTTTTGCTGTCATGCCTCCCTCGAGCAGGAGACTGTTTTTGTTAAGGGTCCGGCGATAACCCGAGTTATCGGGCTCGGCCCCCCCCCCCCCCCCAGGGTAAAACCTACCCTAGAGCTGGTTGTACAGATCCGGGGGGAGACGCAGGGAGCTGTCAAGACATCCCTAAGCGTTCTCAGACGGCGCCCGCACCGTCGCAACACCGATAGTAGCACCGCGGCGGCATCGTTAGCAGCTATAGGGGCCGTAGCACCAGTGCGCGCGGGCATATGCAGGGCTGCCAACAGCGCGAAGGTTAGTTTATCGGGTGGCCCCCCCTCCCCCCCGGATAACCCAGGTTATCGCCTATTAAACAAAAAAAGGTCTCCAGCAGCTTGCAGCGCTCATGTACGTATCAGTGGTCGGATGGCATGATTATTCCAGCCCGAACCCGCTAAATGCTGGCGAGCCCGGCTCGATCCGGCTCAGTCCCTGATTTATCCGGCCTGATCTGCTCAAGTGGCGCCCCATTGTTGGCCTCGTAGCCATTCACCGTTCGTAGGAAGACCTCAGGAGTTGTCCCCCGAAACAGGCCCGCGCGTACTTCCAGCAGTGCCTTCGGCGAGCCCCGTTGGCCAGGGCAGGGGTGTGAGAGGGGGACGGGGGTTCTGCGCTGGCCCCATGAACCCGCGAGGATCTTCAAACTTGCAAGTTTTGTTTCCCAGACAGTACTTGCATTCAGGGTCAAGTCGGGCATGCCCCTCTACAGGAGGAATATTCAACAATAGCCAAAAGTAGTATGTTTGCATATGTTTGAGCATGTTGTTGTTGTTGTTGTTGTTGTTGTTGTTGCTGTTGCTGTTGTTGAACATTATTACTTCTAAAGAATAATTATTGTTGGGACCCCTGGTACACGACCCCCCTCCAAAACCTAGGCCGCAGCTACATTTTCATCATTTTTTCGCGAAAGCTTCAGAAAAGTGGATTAGTACCGGATCCGGTTGTTTTGTTCCCCCCCGTTTTCCCTTGCAAAAAACACTATAAAATGAAATTTCTTGTTCAAATGTAATCCAATTTCAAGAATCCCTTGCAAAAAATAAGCTAAAGTGGACATTCGCGCGTGCAAGACGAAATCCTTCCAAAACCTTAGGTTTCGGAACGATTTCAACATAAAAACATCAAAAACCCAATGGTTTTTTAAATAAAAAATTGTCAAAATCTCATCCCGCGCGCTCTTGCGGATTCGTAGGAAACCCAACACTTTTTAAACATTTCTGTCAAACGGGCTTTTGCGAGCAACTTTTTCGAACTTCTGCGACAACGGTTGCGCACCTGCCAGGGCCATCATCCCTGTCAAATAATACCATGCGGGACACATTCGTTTTTTCTTCGCGCGCGCACGCCGAAATCTACAAAAACCATATCATTGGCCATTTGGGAGCGCACGGGTATCAGCTCGGCCCGCACCTGCATCAGCCAGGCAGCCGTGTACCCAAGCGTATTCGCGACGTCGCAGAGGACGAGTCGCCTTAGTATGCTTCGTGTATATTCATAGTGTGACTGGACCTGTTTGCGAAAGCAGGAGAAAGTATGAGCATTGCATGCGTCATCCTTGGGACTGTATAACAGCAGAAACAGACAACATTGCATCGCAGACGGACAGCCATCGGGACAACCATCGGGACAACCATCGGGACAACCATTTGGACCAGCATCGGGAAAACGATCGGGACAACCATAACCATCAGGACAACCATCGGGGCAACCATCGAGACAACCATCGGGACAACGATACCTTCTCTCTTGTGTCCTCCCACATCCCTCAGGAAGTTGCCCTAAAGATGTGACCGACTCCTCTCTCTCCTTCTCTATGTCTCTCGCTCTTTCTCTGCTTCATATCTATCATATGAACACATCTATCTCGCTCTTTCTCTGCTTCATCGCCTTCCCAGGAAATTGCCCCAAAAATGTGACCAACTATCTTGGCAGTGCGTACCATCTCACGTGTACCGTGTACCACATCTTCTCAGGTTGCCTCACACATGTGACGAATCTCTTTCTATCTCTCTCTCCTCTGGCTCTCTGTCTTGCTCTCTCTCTCTCTCTCTGTCTCTCTGTCTTGCTCTCTCTCTCTCTGTCTTGCTCTCTCTATGTCATGCGCAACGAATGCACGATGCGGGGCACATGCGGGGCCCAAACAAGTGATCAACCTCTGCGGGTGTGTACTCCACGCCAGTGTAGTATCCACGATCGTCCGCGCGCCACGAAGTGAAGTGTCCTGACGTCATAGGGCGGGAAGCTGGGTGTGGGTGGTTCCCTAGAGTCGTGTGGATGTTTGGTAGAGCTTGCATTGCCCCCCCACGAAGTGGGGGTATTGGCTGGCGTCGCATGAAAACCCTGGCACTGGGGAGAACACTGAGCGTTCGGGTAAAATGATTGTTGTTGTTGTTGTTGTTGTTGTTGTTGTTGTTGTTGTTGTTGTTGTGTTTTTTCCTTTGTGTTTTTAGTTGTTTTTTAAATTATCCAAGATCCGCCTGTGGGAGGACATCTCCCCGGACGGCCAGTTGCCGCCTGTCGCCGCCGCCCGTCGCCGCCGCGACCCGGGCCCCTCGAGTTGGCCTGGCCGGCGCGTGGCCGCCCGTCGCCCGTCGCCATCTTCGCACGGCATGGCACACCTTCGCCCGGCACCGCGTCCGCGCATCCGCGTCCCACGCATCGCGTCCGCATCCGCGTCCACGCATCCTCCTCATCCTCCTCCCCCCATCCGCGTCCACGCATCTTCGCGCGGCATGGCATGGCATGGCACCGCGTCCACGCGTCGCCGCACGTCTAGGCCTCCCAATCGGGGTCGGAGTGGGTGGGGTCGGAAGATCGCGCCGCGTCGCCGATGCATCGGCGATGCATCAGCGATGCGGCTCGATGCGGGGCCCAATTTTCTCCACGCCGACGTCGCCGATGCATCGCCGACGTCGCCAGTGCATGGCCGATGCATCGGCGATGCATTACCGATGTATCGGCATTGCGGCGAGATCCTCCGACCCCATCAACTCGGACCCCATCTAGGGGGCCTCTAGCATGGCATCGCATCGCATCGCATCGCATCGCTTCGGATTGCATCGCCGCATGGCACCGCCGCATGGCATCGCATCGCCGTATGACACCACTGCGCATTGCATCGCATCGCACTGCATCGCCGTCCGTCGTCGCCGCCGCATGGCATTGCGTTGCTTTGCATTTCTTGGCACCACATGGATTGCACCACGCTGATTGCACCACAAGGACTGCACCAGCTCGATTGCACCGCATAGATTGCAAGACATCGCTGCTTGGGGTCCACACTGGTAACATTGAGTTAGTGGTTCCACGCCTTGCCACGAAGCAAAGTGGTCCTGATGGACGGGGCTCCAAGTCGTCTCTCAGCTTCCAGAACCGCCAGACAGCTCCAGATGGAACACTGGTCTTTGGGGAGGCCCCGCTGCCTGGGACCAGTTGGCATCCATTCGCCTCAGGACATCTCACCTTCGTGGCAGAGGATCTCCTTTGCCTCTTCTGGAGGGTAGGGTGAGGCGAAGGAGGATAAGGAGGAGGTGGAGGAAGAGGAGGTGTAAGAACATGGCCTTGCGATTGGACGAGGAGCACAGCCACATACGTCTCGCAGTCAGGTGTTAGCGTTACCGCTTGCGTTTGGCTCAAGTATGTAACAGTGGATTGTGTCTTGCGCCCGGCTGTTAAACATGTCACTATCCATCGTTCCCGTATAATTCCTCCTCGTGAATTTGCATGATAGCGGAGCGCCTCGAATGGCAGCCGTACAAGCATCGGCAGCAGCACCCGCTCACTACCGAGAACTACTCCCAGAATTAAGTTTCAGGATCGAGACCAATTGTTTCACGAAAACCCACCGCTGGACTATGTGAGGCCGCGTACTACGGGGTGAATACAATGATGTAAAGCAGGCACTGGGAGCTAACCGTGAAGGGATGAAATAGTTCATTGAGAGACAGACTACAGCTGGAGTCAGGACCCTCACTAACGAGGAGGGATACTTACGGACTGTTACGAATGGCCAAATCCTTGTTCCTGAGCGTCGTGAGCCGCAACATGTACGCGGAAGGGGGCGGCTAAGAAACTTCAGTTAAGAATCGAAAAGCTTGAACACCACACGAGCGTGCAGGAAAGCACGATGAATCAGGTCACGAAGATCGCCGAATTATACAGCTCAGGGAAACAGCAAGCGGGGAGGACATCAAACACCGGTTAGTGAA